AATTTTCTAATATTTAATCTAGAGACCCTACAAAACACACACAATCAACACTAGGTAGGGGGTGCCACTGAACTTTTTGTACATTTTTATATTGAAAATAAATCATACAATTTTTGCAACCCATTATTATACCGAATAAATGTGACCATTTATTTTACTGTGGCTTGATTGAAACAGTTCAACGATATTTATGCAGAATTTAAATTCTTGTATATAGATCCATATTTATTCAAAACGGCTACCCTAGACAGATACAATCTGCCAGATATTTATACCCTGAATTTATACATATTTTGACTGTAAATAAGACCCATATATATATACTTAAAGAATCTTGAAAATCAGTGGTACATGTACGTTCCATGATTGGTAATTTCTAAATAGTGCCCATTCTATCGAAATTTGATGACAGATATTTTGTATAATAATTTAGCATATTAGCCATTTCTCAGATCACAGATTAATAACATTCAAACTCATTCTAAATGATATTCTAAAAACGAAATGTTCCAATTTGCAGTAAAGTTGGTACATTTTATATAATATACAATTTCATATAATTTCCAGTGTGAATTTCACTAAATAAAGACTATTTACATTACATTTATTTGTAATACATATGTTCAAATGCTTTAAGAACAATTGGACAAATCTGTATAATATTTAACACATTTTAACCAATTTAGCGAAGTATCAATTGCAACTTTTATCAGTCTGTAGTGATTGTCAAGAGGTCTATATATATATATATATATTTGTATTAAATCTGAAATAATTCATACAAAGCGAATGGGAATGCCAAACAGTGACTCGTGTAACTTAAACTATATAGATCACACTTGTTGTGGGTTCTTTTCACGGGCCATAAAGGCATTGAAAATCATTAAGATGGTTATCGTTACAAGACGACAATGATCTCAGGCCAATAACAATTGGACATCTAAGAACCATAGAGAATTTATAAATAAGGGAACGAACACATTCATCATACACGCACAGCACTAAATGACACCAAATTTGAATTAACTGCAATGTGCGTACGCACACTTTAATACAAAGAGCAAAAGTTTGACAGTAAATACACAAATAGCTTCACAAAATCGGCTAATTAAATATTACTGCATTGCCTAAATATTTTAGACGGTTCCGATAAACGTAACCGCGGTCGAAATATGCAGGTAAGGCCGGGGGAAACTGAAACCTGGCTGTTTGTGCGTGTAAGGCAGATGTACTATACCGGACGTAAC